ATCTATGTGAGCGAATCAAAGGATATTAAAAAGATTTTGGAAAAGAAATGTTATGACTGTACATGAGGGTTTTTTTTTTGCTTTGTTAAACTGTTATTGTGGAAAATTTAGGTTTCAATATCAGCAGAGTGCCTCACAAATGAACAGAGGAAGACCAAGAAACTTTAATCAGAGTTCCTTTCACAGTCAGGCAAGAAATTCCCAGAGATCAAACATGGACTTGATACCCCCTGAGCCTCCAAATCCAAAAAATCAGCTAAATTCACTGCAAACCAAAGATCATCAGGGGCAGGAAACAGTCAGCAAAACAGACCCACAGGAGGGGGGCAGGCCCCACTAACAGAGGGGGTATGGGAACAGGGCAATGCTAACAGAGGAGGGTACAGACAATATGCCAATAGTAAGGGGTTTGGTGGAGGCAGCAGTTATGTAAAGAATACCATGCATCCAAGTGCTACAAGCAGTAGTTCTTATCAGAAACAGGGTCAGAACCAGTGGGACAAAAGCAAACAGTGGAATAGCAGGAGCAACCAGGGAAGCAGTAGTAGCAACCAATGGGACAATAGAAGCAGCCAATGGAAAAGCAGTAGCAACCAACAAAATCATGGGAACAGTCAATGGAATAGTGGTAGCAACCAGTGGAATAGTGGCAACAATGAGGGAAAAAGTTGTAGTAGCAGCTTTGACTTAAGAAATAAAATAGGTTCAGCAGAAACAGGTTTTTGTAGTGGAAATCAAAGTTGGAGTCAGTCAAGAATTGGTGTGCAGAGACAACCAGAGAGCCAGTGGGGTAGAGGTGGTCAAATATGGCCGGCCATTGACATGAGTGGCAGTGCCAGCAATATGGACAAAAGATATGCACCAATTGCTTCCTCATTTCAGGTACTAGATTAAAAATTTTAGTGTTTTGCAGAAATTTGCAAAGACCTTTCTCTTGCAAATTTTGAAAATGTATATGCAAGTGACTTCATACAATTAATTAAAATGCATTTAGAGTACCTTTATTTTTATTGAATTATAGATTCCCAATGCCACTGGAGATGGTATTCCCCAACATACTGTCAGCAGTGACTCCTGGCATCAAAATGTGTGGACAACACAGCAGCAGGGGAATGAAAGAGCTTCTCAAATGACCAAAGCCCCAAACACAGCTGAGGTACAAAATAATTCCTTGATTATTAAATCTATTTTAAAAATTTACACAATAAAGCTTGGACTAATCTGGACGTCACTGGTCAATTAGATGTGTGCCAGGTTAGACCTTGAGGTGGTTGTGACTACTTCAAGGGGGAGAAATACTCCTTGTAGGCACTGAACCCACATTTGGAATTTTCAAGGATCCATTTTGTATACCCTGTTCATGAATTTATATTTCTTACAGTTTTTTTTAGATCACACATACACTTTTCTTCATCTTGGTCATCTCCATGCACCTTTTTCATTACTGTAGAAAATTGAAGAATATTTTACAAACTTTTATGTTATTGTATGACCCCCCCCCCCCCCCCCCCCCCCCCCCCCCCCCCCCCCGTGTAAAAAAATTGTTTAAATTATGGTCTGATTTCACACTTTACTGAGTTTATGTCAAAAACAATACATCAAAATTGTGGTGTTTGTAGTTTACTTGGTATCCATTCTCTAAAAATTTCATTTAAACAATATATTGCTTTCTTTGTTTGATATTACTGGAATTAACGGAAGCAGCTGTTGCAGAAAAAATACACAACCCGCTTATACATTAAACCCGCGGGTTATGTAAATTTTTTCTGCAATAGCTGCGACCGTTAATTCCAGTAATAACAAACAAAGAAAGCATTTTATTGTTTATATTTATATCTGTTTAAATAATCATTTAAAGTAGGATTAAAAAGATTGATTATTGTATTAATGATGCGAACGTCTTTATACGTTTCATTGATGGAACAGCCACTGATCAAGAAATCTGTATTCAGTGGATGTAAATATAGATTGATGAATAGATAGCTGCAATTATTGTGTGGGAAAATGATATTCTGGTAAATTTTCTTTCCTTTTTTTTTTTTTAATTTATTAGTTAATTTAATCCAATTTTTTAAAATTAAAAAGTTAATTTATTATCTCTTTTTTTATAAGACAAAGACAGCCCAGAAGCCAGTGTTGGACAGATCCCTGAGAATCATAACTACAGACCTAGCTGGGATACAGAACTGGAACACCTCCGAGGGGTGTTCACTTTTCTGTTTGAGATATTTGGTAAGAATATATATTTAACTCAAGTTTGATGTATTTTATTGTACATTTCTTAAAATGAATACTGCAATAATATTAACAAGTGATTGGTAAAAGCTTTATTTAAAAAGTTACAATACATTTAAATGTTTTCCTTTATTGACTTTTTTTTTTTCAAAAGATTTGAATTGCATAAATTGATTTAAAGATACATGTAGATTTAAAAATACTATTATTTTCTAAACTTGAAATATTATTATTATAAGAAATTGATTATCTATATTTGATTTTTTTTTTATTCAAGCCCAGGTGAATTCTGCAACAGTTAAGGTTCCAGATGTTGATGCCAAAAAGTTTTCAATCAAGGAGGATAATGCATCTATGAACTGTATCTTCTATGAAATTGTAAGGTTTACAGTACTAGTGCGTCCTATAACAAACTTTAAATATACATGTAATATGCATGATTTGAGCATGATTGGTTTCACTTAACAAATTTTTTGCATAATTTTTAAAATACAACATTATGATTAATATGAATTCAGGTACCATAAGTTTATAATATTTTAATTCTTATTTTTCTCACTAGAAACTATAACCAATTGCTATAAACCAAGAGTAAACTTTTTTAATTGATTATTGTGATAGATTTGATTGATACATTGTAGGATCACTGTCTACCAAAGCTTACCAGAGGAAAAATATACAGGTATTTAAAACTTAAAAAAGACCTCCTCCCTGAACACTTTTAAGAAAATAACCTAACATACATAAAGTCCCTATATACACAATATTGTATTTTATACACATAACTGAAGATTAAAGAAAAATAATTTCATTATACCCCCCGCTTGAAAAGCGGGAGGGTATATAGTAATCGGTATTTCCGTCCGTCCGTCCATCTGTCCGTCCGTCTGTTGCGCTTTGGGGTACCCATCTCTTATCCGCAACTCCTCTCATACCACTGAATGAAATTTGATGAAACTTTCACAGAATCTTTATTACATATTGCCATTGTGCACCTCCTATTTTACTTCTTGATCCGACACATATTTTGGGTTTCCCGGCCACAGGAAAACATGGACTTTTTCACCAGTTAAAACCATATGGGAGGCGGGGGTATCATTTAGTGAGCTCATCGCTCACAGTACCTCTAGTTAACAATTATTGTCATATACAAAAGCAATCATAATCCAAAAGTAGATGCATTGAAAGTATCAATTGTATGTATTTGTCAAAATGATAAGCTAAATAAGATTTATAGTTTCTGATCTTTTTTGACAGAATTGTGGGATCCTATGACAGCCACCAAAATTTGATCAAATGTGTGTCGATCCGAGAGGCCATGCAGGAGGAGCATGTAGCTCATCAGAAGAATGTGGAGGTGTGTGCAGAGTATAAACTGAAGCTCTCCAGTCTCGTCAGGGAGCAGTAATTAAGTTACCGTTACACACCTTATACTAAGAGTCTTGTCAAGGAGCAGTAATTAAGTTACCACTGGTACACACTTTATGCTAAGAGTTTAGTATAAACTGAAGCTCTCCAGTCTTGTCAGGGAGCAGTAATTAAGATACCACCGTTACACACTTTATACGAAGAGTCTTATCAGGGAGCAGTGATTAAGTTAACACCAGTACACACCTTAAACTAAGAGTTTAGTGTCAAAGCTTACATGAACGTCGTTATAAAGCAGCTGATTGAAAAGAAAAAAGTGTTCGTTTAAAGTGTGCACATTGTAAATCATTTCACAAGGAGATGTGATATTAAGACCTGACTATTGTTATTTGTTATCCAAATATTTGTTTTATTTAGAGGTTTTATTTATTAGGAACTTTTTTTAATTTAACAATAAAACAAGAGGTCATTGTTTTTAGGAATCCTAAGACCATTAAGAATACAGGTTATTTTGATAAGTTTTAATTAAAGTTTTTTGAATTTTACATACATTGTGTTTCAACAAAGAGAACTAAACTGAATTGCTTGAAGCACCTGTGCTCACTGCTGGTTGACTGGATTTCAACATATTCTGACTGATAATTGGAATATTTGTTACTGGTTCAATCTTATTAGACAAGTATACAAGGATTGTATATACTTACAATTTATTTTGTTTCTTTTGAGATTTATAATTTGTTTCTTTTGTGATTGAAACTTCTGCCAATTAAAAGAATAAAAAAATCTTATTTGTCATTTATCTATACACAACCTTTTTTTCACCTGAACATTAAGATATTGAACCAATGTCTTCATTGCAGTAAGCATTAAACTCCCCACAAGTCTTGAACTAAGGGTCAGAGATTCTGAACTCGATCCCACTAGTCTTGGACTAAAGTTCAGAGGTTCTGAACTGCCTATAAGTCTTGGACTAAGGGTCAGAGGTTCTTGAGTTAGGGTGAGTCTCTAATGATTAGGGATGTGCGATTTTATGGGTATACCGGTATATCGCGATTTTTTGTTGCGTGATACGTATCGTGATACAGAGACCTAAATACCGGTATTTAGGTACATATTATAAAGTCCAGAAATTATTCATTTATTTGTTCAATCTTTCAAATTACAATCATAGAAAGTCTAAAAAATGTTGTAAAAGGTGGAAAGAACGGCATCTTACCATCCAAACATGATTAATTTTATGTACATAAAAATTTCAAAAAAGCTAAATTTTGTTTTTCTAGAATATTTTAAGAAAAATAATAAAAATTCATTAAAAATCATTGTAAAAATTGCTGGTAAAAATATCATGATATTATTGTGATATTTTGGGAAAAAATCGTGATATATCGCGATACGAAATTTTTAGCGATACCCATCCCTACTAATGATCACATAAATAAGTGCATATAGCTGTGTAGGTCAAACACAATACATATTTATAATTAGCCAGGCTGCCTCTTTTAAAATCGGAGGTTTTATGGGATCTGGATCTAGGGTGCTAGGATGTGGTTTTATTGATTTCAAAGTGATAATCATTACTCCTCTACAAATCTTCTCTGCTCCTGCATAGTTTGAAACAAACTTTGCATATGGTTGTGTGAGCAAAGGCTAGAGTGCCTATAGTCTTGGGCCAGGGTTCCTTGTAAAAGGTGGGGCTCATTTAATACTTACTATAGAGCAGAGTAAAGACGGATCTCAAAACATAAGAGGCAGGATCAGGTGCCTTTGAGGGGTGAGCATCCCCTGCCGACCTTTCACACTTGCTGTGTGCTCCTTGTAATGATCGGGAAATAACGGAAAAATCCGTGGACAATTCAGTGCGTAAATAATGGCCTAACAATTAGTATGAAAACATTAATCAGCATTTGACTTATTAATAGAGATTGTATTTGCTGACAAGGTCATTGTATCGTCCATAGAACTTACAAAATGATGACGTTAATCGAGATTGCTGATATTCTTGATTCAGCAACTTAATCAACAACTTACATGTACCTTGACGATTGAAAAGTTAAAGTATTCGCCTTTATTATAAAACTTGGTTGTTAGAAAACCATTAAATTCTTTTTCTAGTAAATATCCAAATTTGAAACAGATATATCAGAATCTGTGGTATATTTTATTTTAAGCTCACCTGAATATATCGTATCGACATAATAATGGAAATAACCATTGTTATAAGCAATGCATCATTAACAAATCTAAATATTTCTATGTGTTTTCTCTGTGATAACTCTTTTGAAAGTTATTAGAGTTGATTTCTTGATCATTCTACCGGAATGTAAATTTCGCCAAGCGACAGACCTGTGAGGAGCTATGGAGGCCTAATATGCATATACAATGTATATAAATCTCGTGCGGCTGTCTTTGTGTTTGACGTCATTGGGCGGGGACTATTGTAATTGACATATGTGAGACCCTGTGAATTGAAAATCCATTAAATCCTTATTTACAATTTTATTTCACAATGGAATAAAAATATAATGAATCACTGTCTAGTTAATAGAGTATGCCAGGGCACCAACGATCATAGTTGGAAACGTGGGATAATCTGCATAACGGGCTTCGCTTAAATGTCGAGCTGAAGATCACAGCAAGTGTTTTGTTTTCACACAATACTGTAAGAATTTGAAAAAAGGCTGCTTCATACCCCGGTATGAATACAAATATAGGTCTTCTTAGAACTAGGCGCAATTGGTTACGCTTCCAATAGATTATTGGAAGACCTGGCCTCCAAAAACCACACCGATATTGTCAATGAAACGCAAATATCTTTTTTATTAAAATCAACTTTAGAGTACTTGTATATGCAAACACAATTTTTTGTTACAGAATAATTTTGCAAATGACCAATGATAAGGTAAGTAAATTTGCACATTTTATTGTAAAAGCAGCTGTTAATGATATTGAAAAAGCCTATCGACTTGATATCAAAATGCTTTAGCGAGAGTCAAGAATTATTTGCTAATCCTTTGTTGTCGTACCTCCAAAGAACGCAAGAGGCTTTCGGGAGAGTCAAGGATAAACAACATATATTACTTGCAAAATGAATGTTTTTATCAACGTATAATTTTCTTCAAAAGATTTGCACCTATGGTACTGCATGTACAAGGAGAGGGAGAGAAAAAAACATGTGAAGTTGGCTATTGAACCGATCATGTATCTTTGTCATGATAGAGTCGTATAGTGAGAGATTTTATTGGCCGTTGAAAAATGCAAAACGAATGACATTGCAATAATAGGAATTACAATTCCCTTCTGCGATCAACAATTTTTATTTTTGATTGACATTTAGTTTTTGCAAACTGTAATATCGTACCAAACATATTTGTATTCGTATAAATCAATAGCCAGGAAACCCATTGTATGAAATTAATATTTCTAACTGTAATCTACAAGAGTCATTGTTAGATCGTAATTATGTCTTTGGATCCTCTAGATCTACTATGCAAAGTCATTTTTGTTGTATTTATTTGGACCGGATGAACGACGGTAGTATTCATTTATATAATTCATAAAAAAACTATATGGGCCATTTTCAAAAAAAGTCCACTTTTTTGTCTTTTGATCAGAATAATAGGAAAACATTTTTTAGAGTGAATTTTTTTTTTCCCGTTGGTTAATATACATGGTCATATAGCTTATAAGTAATTTTATGATCATCTCCCAGGTGTTTTATAAAAAATCTTCTCTGCATTCCGAGTAAAATTTAACAGTAAAACCATGTCACATTAACAAAAATAACGCGCTTATTTAAATGATAGGGAAAATATTACCCTGTGAAGATATGTACAAATTTTGCACCTCATTTTAATTGAATGCATTTACAGATTAATTTAATATGATTGTTTTACTTATGCCGCCCACTAAATACTAGTATCGTGCATTTAACATTCAGGAAGTGACATGTCCCACCAGTTTATGTCATTCCTGTTATCAGAAAGAAAATGTTAAAAAAAAAGTTATCTCACTTTCCTAGGAACTGTTTTCATGATCCACAATATATCATCATTTTCTGTTGTCTCAAGTTTATGAGCGCCATGATTTGAAAGTGAGTAAAGAAAGGGTTCAAAGGTCGATAAGTTTGTCTTATTGGTAGAGTATAATGAAAATATGTCCTATCTGTTACCTTCATAATATGCAAATACTTTTAAATTGTTTATTCTGCTAAAACAATCAGATTTACTAAGTTACAAAGAAACTGTTTCAATGTCTTGATGATGCAAAAAGAGTAAGTTATACTAAATAACCGGTGATTTATATGAGAAATGTCCATCCTGTTACTGTCATTCCTGTTACCATTAATATGGTAACATAAGGAAAATTTTCATATCTTGAGTTTTAACAATAAAAACAATTACTTTTATTTTTCTAAGTAATATAAGTTTAATAACACATGTTAAAAAACTTCGTAAATCATACTGAAATAAGTTAGTGCTTCAAATTATGCCATTATAACTTAAACATGCACTCTTGTAACAGAATGGACAAAAATTGTAACAGGAAGATTTATATACCTATTTAAGTTTCATCATTTGTTTTTCTTAAAATTATGAAAAATTCTTAGTTTTGCAACAGCATAGAGTACCTTTAATAAACAAAAATTGAACTGATAAATATTTTAATAGCACTTTAGAATTAAATTTCGTAACAGGATGGACATAAATGTCTTTTATTGTCTCAAATTCGCCAGATTTGACAAAATCATTTTTTTATTCTACATTTATTTCTCTTTTCCTAACCAATAAAGATTTTTATTTAAAATGTATATTTCATTGTCCATCCTGTTACACTGTTTTGTTCATCCTGTTACTGTTTTGTCCTTCCTGTTACCCGAGTCCTTACTGTTACCAGTATATTTTCCTAGTTTAAATTGCTTTGGCAGAGCACCTGTTTAAATAACTTTCTGTAGCTGTTTATTCTAATCACAAAAATAATGTACAAGAATGTTTTTTTCAACTATAGCATATAAACATTCTGCAATAAGGCTTTTCATGAAGAAAAACCCGTAGATTTTGCTTCTGTTTGGTATATATGGTAGTTTGACATGCTTTTAAACGCTCATATATTAGATGAATGTCAAACATCTTGGCATTCAATGATAATTTTTTCATTTATTAACGGTATACAAAAGATAATTTGATGAAAATTTTGAAATAGAGTTTTACAGCTCTTTTTATGAAAGTAACATATTAAAGTTTAAATGACTTGCATAAAATGTCAATATTTTTTAAAAGAAATATTTTCTTTTATGCAATGCAGTGGATTTTAGTAGTTTATTACTATATTATTCAAGTAAAGTTGAAAAAATCATAGTAAAACCACTTTCATTTTTCAAAATATGTCATTCAAAAAATAGACTTTTTTTGAAAATGACCCATATAAAGACGAGAAATCTTCATTGTCATTTATAAACCTATATATAATTGTATGCTAGATATTTGATAAGATCTTTATTCTCTCTTAGCAGGGAGTTTTCCAATGCCAAAAAAGTCCGAGAAACTGAATTCATCCACGGTCTCTCTGAGAGGAAAAGATAGACAACAGAAAGGATACATCTGTCGTATTGCATCAAGACAGAGAACAAAAAATCTAAGGTAAGTCACCCATAATATGATTTATTTCTGTTTGTGAGGTTAATATGATGATATGGCCACCTATGTAAGTTTTAATGTTTTGGATTTGGTTTTGGTTTAGTTGGATCTTTGCCAATTATAGAATAAATTACCCCTTTATTCCTTGAATATCACTCATATTTTCATATCCCCCTGATATGACGTCACAGTGGGTTTTGCATTAGATTGATGAAGTAAAATAAAGAAGATTCCTATATACATCAGGAAGGCCTTTGGTAATACTTTAGCTTTTAGTTAATTACTTTCCTGATAATGATTTTTAATGATATATGCCTAAACAACGGATCCGTGTGTTTATTGTTCTGAGTCCTTACGACAATGCAAACTGATTGTAAGTACTGGACACTGTTATACCACTAATTCAAAAATCAAATTAATAATTTGTTTAATAGATACACTCTTGACACCCTAAAGGTAATCCAAGAGGTGAGTGTCTTTTGATTTTGTTTTAAATCATATGCATATATATTTACTTGATTGCAAGATGGCTTGAATCTTTTTAGATCCGTATTTTTGCTGGTCAACGGTACAAACTTGATTCAATTTCTAATAAAGCATGCCATTTTTTTTCTCTCTTTCAATGCTTGACGTATACCTTAAAACTGAATTTTCGAATCATAAATTTATATTAGATTACCCCCGGTATCAACTCATGGAATGAATATTCGAATATTTCTTGGCATCCCTAATGATGTATAAAACAAGGAATAAAAAAAATTTCCAAATGATTTTTCGTTGCCAAGGCTAGAGGATAAAAAAAAAATCTTTAGATACTAGTAAAAATTAGATACTAGTTATTGATTAAGATTTGCCAAATTGCAATAAATAACTAACATAAGATTTTTAACAGCAGCACATAATAATAATGCTAGACAAATTATTCTTCGCCTTTTTTCTTTCAGGTATCTCCATTCCATCTTTCGAACCCATTGTTCGGTATGGAAAATAAGCTATCACTGGATTACAATGTAGAAGGGAGAATAGAAAGAGCCCCACTGGGAGTCATATCTTACATTCTCAACATCATAGGAATCATTGGCAATGCTGTGGTTATACATATCTTTCGAACACGTACTGGCCCTTCCTCAAATTACAGAATCTTTGTTCTTTTTCTTTCATTTGTCGATGTCTTCCTGTGTGTTGCCCACATTCCAAAAGAACTGAGCAGAATGATCTTCGTATACGATCAGCAGTTGATCCCAGAACTCAGTGATGTGGTTTGTAAGGTGTCTCATTACCTTGGTAATTCCGTGGGTATGGCTTCACTTCTGATTGTCTTTTTTATAAGTTTCGAAAGATACAGAAAAATCTGCACACCTTTCAAGTCCCAAATTTCATTGACCCGCTCGAAGATAATGTGTGTGAGTGTAATTATTACTGGTTTTGTCGTACAGTTCCCAATATTTTTGATTCACGGGACACGATATGTCCAAGTCGAAAACATAAATGCTACTCGATGCAATATAGAAAACAAATATGACGGTAATTTTTTAACCTTCCTGTTTTATGTTTTTATATTCGTGGCTGCGTTTATTTGTATCATACTGATCATTATATTGCAAGTGAAAATACGGCATGCACTTGTAAAGAAAGCCCAAACCAAAAGACAGATGAAAAGCAAGGCTAAAGCGCTCGTCTATAAAATACCAGATGAGAACGTTGTTCAAAAAGAGAAAGCGAATCAGACCGATCCAAAAGAATCAGCCATAGATCAAGAGGCAGAAAAGAACAGACGCATAGCGATAACGTTTGCCATTGTAACTGTTTTCTTGCTTTCTAGTTTCGTCACAATTACCTTGTTTCAGAGTATCCAAGTCACCAATAGATATTTCTATCCACGGCAAAAGATTTCTAAAATGGAAGACATCCTTGAAGAATACCTGCCAGATACTGTGAGCTTTAATGGGATTTTGAATCCATTTGTTTACTTTTTTACTGATGTACAGTTCAAGTTAGAAGTAATGAAACTTTGCGGCAGAAAATGATAGATTTCAAAATTTAAAAATTTTGACTGATTTTGAAACTGTTGTCGAATTTACATTGCTAAAAAGAAATTTGTGATTTACGTGAGTTGGTATAAAATAAAGTTTTTTTTGCTAGTTATCCTAAACCACAGCTTCTGCTAACATACTAGTATGTTCCATCGACAATATAACTGTGTTTATAACTGTGTTTGAATGCATGTACAATCTCCCATGAAAGGTTGTTTAAATAGTATTTGATTTCTTGTATAGTTTTTGACAGACGTGCAAAAGTTTGAATAAAAGAAAGTTTAATTTTTAGCTAAATTCTTTAGATCACTTGAGCTGAATGTATATTGTAAAAGCAATTTCCTCTTCACACCAACAATTGGGTCAATTTCAACAAACCAGAGCTATATCAAATATTGACTCCAAAAGTTTTTATATAAGGTTTTCAATTTAAAGTCTTATTCTAGTCTGATTGATCCCCCTTTTCCTATGTACATCATGTTTCAATGTCATTTTGGTGCTGGGGGTCAGATTGTTAATATTTTGCCTAAGATGTGTAATACCCTATATTTGAGTTCCCTTTTTTCTGACCCCCATTTTGTTAACTATGTTTTACTTCTTTCGTCATTGACTTTAAAAAATGACATATTTCACTTCTAAATGATGTTATTTGTATTTGCCTGCTTTTTTCCTGCAAAAAAACAAAACCAAAAACAAAAACAAAACAAAGAAAAAAAGAAAAAAACAAGCTCAGTTATTTGGCAGGAGAACTAAGAAACATAAATTATTTCTAATTGGATATAGATGAGGAATAAAGTTTTAATCAAATTTTACATATCATTGCATACAGAAAGAGAACCTTCTCCAGAAAACCAATGACTTGTATCATATTGATACTTTTCAGCATTTGTAGAAAGCTCCTTTATATATAGCAAATAATTCATGGTGGAAAACAAAACTCCTTTCTTAAAGTGTGATATGAAAATACTATAGTAGTTGATGCTTTACATGGATAAAATAAAAGAATTTCCGTTTTTTTAATCAAGTTTTTTTATTGGCAAGTGACTCACTGTTCACAAAAACCACAAGTGCATAAATGTATCTTTGTTTAAGATCGACAAGGATGAAAGTACTTAAACATCCTGTACATTAGAACAACACCAAGTAAAAGAAAATTCACAGTAGAAACTCACGTTTAAAAACATATCTCCACTCACAATGTAAAAAAAAAAAAATGATTTTTTCAATTTTCTATATTCTTTTATAATGAGAGGCTTCGATCCGGAGACATTACTACATAATCACTGTCATCAACTTTTATGTCATTAACCATGGAAATATACCAGTCTTCCTCAGATTGGCCGACCACTGTTTTAGAAGGATCATTTTCATATACATGTAAGCCCAAGTCCTTATCACTTCCACTAGTATTTACATTTCTTATGTCATTTTCATATAGAAACAAGTCTTGGAACCTTTCACTGTCATCCTGATAATTAGCATAAACGGAACCTGTGACTTCGGACTCACTACGAGATCTGAATATATTGGCGTATACTTGGTAGTGACTTTCATTAAACTTTGGAGGAGGTGGTCTTTTAGGAGGAACTTTTTTCTTTCCATTTTGTGTACTTTTTCCTCTGATTATCCAGTGATCATTTTCATGTATAGGATTTTTGTTGAAAGTAGTGTCACTCGAAATTGCCTTTTCAATCCGAATAGTGCATGGATCAGAGCTTTGACAATTTGGGTCAGGACCATCAATTTTAGGTAATTTCTTCTCTATTTTTCCTACATTGGGAGTGGACGCTGATTTTGATCGACATTGTAATGCACCACTCCCATCTTCTGGCAGTTTTAACAGATTTGAAATCGACTTTGATTTTTTTCCTTTACGTACAGGGATGGTGATTTTATGGACAATTTTTGACACAGAGAAGTTAATCCCTTCCATGACCGATATCTGTAAAGAAAAATATACTGGTAAATCTTCATAATACATGAACTTGTTATATTCTCTGAATTTGCGAAGTTACTTCGTAAAAAGGGGATTATTAACGAATTCTAATATTGAGCATACCTAGTTTTGGATGCAAACTTAAGATATTTTAGAAAATGAAAGGTAATTTTTTGGCGCACATCTTTTCATGTTTTTCAATACATCATTACATAAAGGATGAAAAATTATATTAATAATCAGATGCATGGTAAAAATCTAATGAATGGTGAACCCCAATTCGTCTATTGCTCACTCCTCCATGGCACCTGATCCCAGCTCTGATGTTTTGGATGTCCTTGTTTGCCCCGCTCCTATTTTGTAATGTTTAATAGATTTTTGAGCTCGAATACTGCTCTTTATCTCCACATATTTCAATTAGAAGAGCTAGAACGAAAATATCAATCACTGAAAGAAGAAAAATGGCGAAGATAACGAACAGAGATCGACCTCCTAATATTATACATTACAAATCTGTGAACAGGACATAAAAACGGAACCCGTGGAAATTCCAGAGGTGGGGATCAGGTGCCTAGGAGAAGTAACATCCCTTGTTGACCGGTCACACCCGCCGCCTTCCTATATATTGATCAAGTGGACGGAACATAGTATATTCAAAGTAAATGAAACACCATATGCAGGTGAGAGCGGAATAAATGAGGAAAGTTAACGATGGAAAAGTTTAAGACATCTCGATTGACATACAGTTTAGTTGTTAGTTGGCATTTGCCAAAAGAGTCCTAACGTCCAAAATTCAATTCAACAGTCAAACATGAAATAGACTTGGCAAACTATGTTGTGTCTTTTATTCACTGGGTTATATCGAGTGGACATATAAATGGAAATATCATTGTTTATTGATAATTAAACATACGTTCCAAAAAATTGGCAGGGGAACTGCCCACGTCACCCCCTTTATAATAAACACCTGTCTTGAAATATCTTACCTTTTGAAGTAGTTTGCGCAATTTTAATTCCAGTTTTCTTTATGTCAACAGTAAATTTTGAATGATGATTTTAAGATGAGATCGGCTGTATATATGCATTACAACCATGATCTCGGAAACGTGTAACAATCATGCATTTGTCATTTGCATACTTCTCGGAAACCTACGTCGATTATTTACAACAAAAACTTCCCTACTTGAACGAAAAAATAGATGCACTACTACTTTGCGTGGGTTTATTGATGACCAAAATTGAATAAAGTCAATAACCAATTGTATTGTACATGTACTTTTATATGAGTATTTGTCCGTAATTAGATTCTTTGGCAAAAGGGGATCGCCTTTTAAGAATCCCCTATTATTTGGACATTATGACCTTGAAATCACCATCAATGTCCAGTGACCTTGAACTTGATTTGTCATTAAAGTGAGATCAAAATAGGATAGCAGCGAGGCTCTACAGATTCGAACTTCGACTTTTTTTTAAAGTTTGGCATTGATAATATTTTGCGACCGATAAAAGACAAATATTCATATTTAACTAAATACAGGGGTGCCTTGTTTGGTTTGCGGAGGCAAGTAAAATATTTCATATAACTATTTCACTTTTATTTTAAACCAATGCTAAAAAATACAAAACTGAAGACTGAAATCTCGTGGAGTTATATATATACCCAGCAAAATTTCTATATACATGAAAATTGCCTCTACCTAAAGTTTCTTAATTAATTGTCATTTTGATTTTGAGAAAGAAATGTTTTTCATTTTATTACTCTGGTTTTGTAAATTGCTATTTGCTTTGTCATCTGTCGCCTATATTGCCTAAAGGATACGGCGGATATACCGGTATTTTAGCAGGCAAATCATAACTACATGTATATGCTTATAAAAAGAACACGGTTTTTATAATTAAAAAAAACTGTGTCTCAATATACGAAGATCATTCTAGTCAGTTCATGTGTGAGCAATACACATAAAGAGATCGACAACAGAAAGAATAAAGAACAAATATTCTGTAATTTGAGGAAGGGCCAGTACGTGTTCGAAAGATATGTATAACCACAGCATTGCCAATGATTCCTATGATGTTCAGAATGTAAGATATGACGCCCAGTGGGGCTCTTTCTATTCTCCCTTCTACATATTAATACAGTGATAGCTTATTTTCCATACCGAACAATGGGTTCGAAAGATGGAATGGAGATACCTGAAACAAAAAAAGGCGAAAAATAATTTGTCGAGCATTATTTGTACCTTTACAAATTATTGGTTGTTTTCTTCTAAAGATACTAGCATTATATTTCTGCTCTTAACTAGTAATGTTATTAGATGAAACAGGAGGGCGTGCTATTAACAATATTCAAAGTAAGTTATTTATTGCAATTTGGCAAATCTTGATCAATAACTAGTATCTAATATATCCCCGACTCATAGGTATGCACAAAAATGCCAAGTTTTCTTATTTCAGAGTTTACTTCCTGAGATTTTGCATTGTTTGGTCATTCTTTGTTGAAGATGAGTTGGGAATGAATGTAGGATCTGCCAAAATTTGTTCTTGGGTATGATTTTTACTAGTATCTAAAGATTTTTTTTCATCCTCTAGCCTTGGCAACACAAATCATTTGGAAATTCTTTTTATCCCATGTTTTATACATCACTAGGGATGTCAGGGAATATACGAATATTCATTCGATGAGTCGAATATAAAGAAGAAGGTATGGTTTCCATACAAATTTTGCCCTGTGATTTTCTAAAAATTGAAACTGTTGTAAAAGTTGAAAACTCATGCTTTTTAAATAATTGAAATTCAATGCAGAAAAATCATTCAAGTCATTTTTCTCACGTGTGTTTTTAAATGCTAATTATGACGTCATAAACATGTGCATTTTCCCGTATTTTCTTAAAAAGTTGCAGAAGACACCAATTTTCAATGGAATTTTCTTTCAGATAACATTGTCCACAGGCATCGCCCACAAAGATCTTGAGATATGTGATTTGTTACTGAATTTTGCATAAAATATCAAAAAAATAACGTGGGCGACGGCTGTGGACACTGCCTTCTAAAGGAAAATCACTCTTGAAATGTGCCATTTTGAGGCTTTTTCTGTTGAAAGTACAGAAATGCTTCACATTAATGACGTCATATTTGCAGAATGGTAAACCTTCATGCCATATTCTTTCCTGATTAATCGGAGTCATTTATTTAACAAATATTTAAGCCAGTGTCAAAACATTTTGATGTCATAACATTTTAGGGCGCAATAAAGCTAAAACCATACCTTCTTCTTTATGATTCGAATATTCGATTTTAAGGCATACAAGCGCTGTTCAATAAATGACATCTTGAGCTATAATGACATACAACATGAGACTTATGGAGATATCGACTAGTTTTCCAGATCTAAAGTCCATAAAACAATACAAAATAAGGGCAGAGCAAACACGGACCTCCAAAACATCAGCGGTGGGATCAGGTGAGAAGTGAGCATGGAGCATCCCCTGCCGACCGGTCACACTCGCCTTGTGCTCCTTGTCATGATCGGAGAAATAACGGAAAAAACGGCGTAAATTCAGTGTATACATGTAAATAATGGAATATGGAAAACGACAGTAAGCATTTGCCTCCATGATAAATTGTATTTGCCGACAAGGTCATAGTATCGACCATAAAATTTATGAAATGATGACTTTAAACAAAGCTGCTGATATTCTTATTTCATCAACTTGTTTGTCAATAATTTACCTCGTTTAAGAAATATATCATACGTAACGTATTCTTTTGCACATTTTCTCATGTACATTTTCCTTACTTGTCTAGGTTTTTTCGAAAAGTATCGTCGAAAATAGACAATGATGCATAATGAAATGATGCAAAATGATAACATAATAAAGTATTGTTTATCTTGATATTCTTTTTTTTGTAAAAATAGTAAACTGTTACTATTGAAAAGAGATTTTCTTTTAAACTTTGAAATTTTGCGTTAAGGCTTGCGCTCTACAGTCATGTTAATGTACAAAAAATTCAGAGGTTACATGAGCTACTCTGTTTTTGTGTCTGGACAAGGCAAAGACTGCTTGAAAAAGAACTGATAAAGACGGTTTGACGAGAAACTATGAAATACCGTTTTGGTACTGTCAGAATCTATCATCCAAGAACATATTAAAATCCTACCAATTATTATGTTTGAATTTTGCTTTAAGTTAGCAAGATAAAACTTAAATTAAGTCATTGATGTCTCGTTACACACTTTTACATTAAAACAGTGTGCTGTTAATTTGTGCGAAAAACCATGTAGGTTTAAAAAGGGCGCGGAGCTGCATAATTTGGATGCATTGCTATATTCAAGACATAAGCATATTGATGAAGTCAAATCTAAATGTTATAGCCACATATCGACCAACCATGCATATATGATTTCATATAAATGTAGCATGTTTTGTTGCTATACTACTTTTGTAATATGTTTTTTTTTCTTACATTGATCACATATAGAAAGATTCACTCTACTAATGATCCTTAGAAGCTGCACGTATGTCATTAACTATCTGTGAATATAACCCGGTTCCGTGACTTCAGTCACACTTTGCAAAGATTATACCACTTAAACTATGGGGATGATTACGTTTACCAATATATGAATGTATACTTAAGTTTTTTGTGCAACCTTGTATAACGATGAATCAGATTGTCTGAGTTTAAATTTACAATTTTTTCCTAGTATTGTGTGATCTAATACATCATCCTGATTAACTTCAAATTGTCCCATTTTTAAGCGGTTAGCTTCGCTAGCCGCTATATGGCATGTGTTGGCAACCGGAAACCTCCATAAGGCGCTACCTATCGACAACAGAAACTTCAACAAAGCCTCTACCAATGATTTGTTTCAAACACATATAACATATGTTAAATAAAATCAAGACTATCAAACAACATAATCTTTCGGTTTTTAATTTTTATCTGATTTTGTTTGTCAATGAAATAAATTTATTGTATTTTAAAATTTTATGTATAGGAGCATTTGGTGTCGAGATTAAATTTCCGTGACGTCAGCTGATGGCGATCGGGCCCTGTGACGAAATTTGAAGTCAGCATGAAGTTTAGCTGATAACATTATCAACGCGTCGGATTTAAACTTAAGGAAGAAATATATAGCGAGAAATATCATATTTGAATCCAATGCTACACGAAAACCAGTAGGCATATCCGATTTATGTGTTAAATTGAAGCCTGAATTGAACAGGGGGTCAAAATGGCGTTGCACACCTTGTGTATCTAAACTGTACATAGAGGGGTAGAATGTTTCGATATTTGGCTAATTTAGAGACTTACTGATAAAAATTCAGGTGACTGTGATTAATTATAAGACACCCCTCATGAACAATAAATGTTTGATCGAATTATGCTACTGGCACAGAAAGGAAGGGTTAATTACTGGCTTCAGGGGTTGAAGGTTATTACAGACTGCAAAACATCGGAGAATCTCTCGATCGAGTTTCATTTTCCTTGCCAAAATATTTAGCCATCCCTTTAATTAACTTAAGTAATACTAGTACATGAAGGAAGCTTTATATATAAAAAAAACTGAATACATCTGCAGGGTTCTCCATCAATTCAAATTTTACTGTGTTGCAGAGTTTACGTGAAGTACTAAAATTTAGCGCTATTTTCGAGATCAAATTCGCAACTGAATTACTTTTCATTAAACTTATAATGGAACATATGCGCACACTTTTTAAAATAAATCACTATTTCGATGTACAAATATTTTCGTCATACATATTGATAAAAGTAAAAACACGTGCTATAAAAAGCAGGGGGAATTCTGATCGATACAATTAAACTAATTACCACTTTTGAAAGTAAATTTGTTGTACTTTTTTTCAGTTTTTTTTTTATCAAATTACCGAATTGCAAAGGAAAAAATAGGGAAACTTCAGGACAGGATGATATTCTTACGAGTTACTTAAAAATGTGTCGCATGCATAAAATTTTAATCGTTACTGTGTCGTAGAAAATTTTGCTTTGTCGGGAGCAACACAGTAAAACAGCTCATGGAGAACCCTGCATCTGTAAGCTGTACAGTTATAGATTACTTCCATAATGAAACGTTTGTTTTCTTCTCCTTTTTTTTG